GCACTACTGGTCTAGTTAGAGTTTGTCGAAACTGATCCAACTCATTTGTGTTTTTGTTAACCAACTCAAATAATTGACTGAAACGTCTATCAATGCGAGAATTGAGACAATCAATTTGAGAATTTACCTGATGTGTACTAGCCCGAGTCTCCTCCATCATGCGGCGGTTCTCCACCAGCATTTGGCGGTTCTCCTCCATGGCTCGAAGGTTGTCAGCCACCATCTTGCGGTTCTCCTCCATCATCTGACGAAGGGCCCCCACTGCTTCACCGAGATCTCCACCAGGCGCGGTTGCCACCAAGATCTCTGCTCCACCGTTTTCTCCGGTCACCGCGTCGGACGCTTGGCCATGCTCAATGTTGGCCACCTGCTCCTCCACAAATCCAGCCGGAACGTCACCTTCTTGGTTCCTCCGCCTCGGAGCCATTGAATCGACCACAAGGGTCCCACCAGGTGTGCCAAATTTGTCCTCTGGCGAGAAAACTTGCGTTGAATTGATATTGATTGCACCTTGACTTCTTTGGACAACGATTACTAAGACACGGCTCACACCTCTTCAAACACAGTTCGAACGAGGGTGATCGATGTTTACACGACTCTCGAGACAGATCTACATTAAGTTACTCCTACTCCTATGGAGGTTCAGTGAGAGCTCCAGATCTACGACTACGGCTAAAATTGCAGAGGAAAGGATAAAGGGATAAAATTTGACATAGTGTTGTCTGGTGTGAATTTGGCGAACCTCCTCTCTGACAACTCTTCCTCCTATTTATAGGCTTGAGGTGATAACCGTCGTAGAAAACTGTCTGGAGAGTAACTTGCAAAAAGAACCGCTTCCCTTCTTTCCCGGACGTGGCTGACGTGTCCTTGAACGTGGAGTAATTGACAGTTTCTCAATCAAACCGTCGGCTCTCCCTTTTGGAACTGACGTCTTGTTACTTGCCCTTTCCTTCACCATGGCTATTCCAGATCTCGCGGCGAGGTGGTTCGTCAAACATGATGACAACTCTACGGGGTGGTTTACCAAAACTTGACGCAAGGAGGCTTGTCGCGACAAGGCGGTCTACCAAACTCTACGCGAGGAGGCTTGGCGCTTAGACTTAGTAGAGGCTTGGCGGACTCGCGAGTGGCCTGACGCGAGGAGTCTTGGCGCTTGAACTTAGTTTATTTTGTGTCCTTCTCCCCACATATCTTGTAGACTCGCGATGTGGTTTAGACAAGGCAGTTTGTCACGACAAGGCGGTCTACCAACTTGACGCGAGGAGGCTTTACGCGAGGAGGCTTGTCGCGATGAGGCACCAGACTTAGTTTATTCTCATGCGTCATGTCAGGCCTAATCATTTGGGTTTAAAAATCTAGTATCGTAGGCCCAGTTTAAATAACATTAATTGTTATTGTTGATCTGGCCTTATAAAGACAGTTAATGTCTTGTAAATAATCAATGTGGTACACGATTATTTTTGTAGTGTAAACACCATGATAATGTTAACAACGTTAATTATTTGAAGAGACGGGACTTACCGTAGTCAATCAAGTAAATGCTCTCATTGTCAAACTGACGAGAAAAACCGAATGTGTATCACATCCGTGATTAATATACATATAAATTCATCAAAATAAAGCGTAGTTGAGAAATTAATTATAGGTGATTATCTGTGTTTTTAATAAATGAGGAAATGCTGTTATATAAACAATAAATGGGACCGGTTAGCGTGACTATTCCTAAAGGGGTTTGATTTTCGACACCCACTGTCTTTACCGTCCATTTTAACTAGTCTTAGTCTAATGGTAGGAAGTAAACAATTGGTAATTTATAATTAATTCAGTAATTAATTACATCGGAAAGGGAAAGAAGTAAACAGTTGGTTCCCTCTTACCTTTTTTTATTTCACCGTTTCAGTTTCCTTCTCTCTCTGTTCAGAACCCGCCCGCAACCCTTCGCCGCCGACTCATCTAATCACTATCCCCCCGCCGTAGACCATCATCTCCTTCACAAACAGCGGTCGGCCCATCCCTCCCGTCGAAAGTCGTCCGTCTTCCGTCCCGAACCATCAACTTCGAGCCCGCTTGATCGATTCCCGTCGACGACAGTCTATCTGCGACAGAGCCTATATAAGCCGATAGTGGCGGCGGTGTGATTATATTTTTTCGTCTCTTTCAGTACGGTATTGCACGATTTTTGTAGATTTTTCGCAGTGGTAGTTCATGTAGTGGTAGTTCTTTCACTCTTGTGGTAGATCTATCACTCTAGTGGTAGATATCTCACTCGAGTGGTAGATCTATCGTTGTAGTGGTAGATCTACTTGTGCAGTGACATCGTGTGTCTATCGCTGCATTGGTAGATCTTTCACATGCAGTGGTAGATCTATCGCAAGAGTGGTTCAAATATCACTAAAGTGGTAGTTCGTTGCAATGTTTTTGTGTGTAGGGCTATTACTGCAGTGGTATTTACAAAATCATTTTGGTTCTTTAAAGTACCACTACACTGGTAGTTTTGTTAGTTCTTAGTATTGACTTATTTTCTAATGAAACCAGCAATGGCAAGGACGAAGAGATTGGGTCCTGAGGTGCCAGCCGGCAATAAACTTGCGGGCCAGAATTCTGGGGGCCAGAAGGCTGCTCGCAAGAAGCCTGCAACCTATGTTTCCAGGCAGGTGGAAGTTGGGGTAAATTAGTCTCCTTCCTCTAGTGAGCGTACCAGCAAGAAACGACGCCGTGAGAGCAGGGAAAAAGGAGTACAAGGTAGGAAGCAGACCTATCGTTCCCCGCGACAATGGAGAGAAATAGCAGAGGAGGGAGGGGGGAAATAGAAACCAGGGGAATGAGAGTAGAAACGCCACAATCTCCATCCAGCTAAATTGCCCCTTCTCATGCATAATTAATATGACAGTTAAACCTTTCTCTGTTCATATTTATTAAAACAGTCATTAATACTTGCCTAATAATTAAGTGTAAAACGGACCAATCAAAAGGAGGGTGTCAAAAAACATACTCCTTTAGAGGTTAGCATAGTATCCGATCCTACAATAAACAAATAAAGGAAACGAGAAACCGGGGCATCAGTTTGTTTCCAGGATCCAGAGTATCTTAATGCCGGTGGTGGCCGGGTGAGTGTACGACAGTTGGTAAATTTAGCTTATTAGTAAGTAAATTCACTGGATCCAGTTAACTGATGTCATAATCATGCTTATGTATCGTTTTCAGTGTGGAAAGAAAGACTAATCCTAATAGTTACAGGTGGCGGACAGCAATTAAGAATTTCCGTTGATCGTTTGGTTTCTGTTTTAACCTTTAAGAGGGACCGGACCGGTCCTACAATCCATACTCGTAATAGTAAAGGCTCTTTCCTTTCTAATTATAGTTGTTGTTGGTGGTGACATGCAATTAATGACCGTGTGGAACAAATCAAATAGTACAACTTGTGGATATGAATCCAACAGTACACCCACAAATTTGTTTTCTTCTATAGAACAAAACTTTAGTGTGTCTTTAGAGTGTTGCCATCGTGTGTACTAACTCTGCTTTTCAATCAATCTTTTAAATATAATTAAGCTCAGCATGTTCATATTATCAATTAATTAGTTGTTAGCTAATAGTACTGGGTGGGATATATAAATACAGAACTTACAGAAGTTAATCCTAATCCCGACAGGCGACAGCTAATACTACTTAATTTAACTTAATATCTAACGAAATCAATTCAATAAGGGGTGGATCACGTTTTTTAAATCGGGTGGATCTGTAATGCATGACGACAAGAAGAAAATGAAAAAAATATCCTAAGATGTCGGAGAAGAAAAAAACTACGAATTGGTGGGGACCATCTAGAGCTATTATTCGGTCAACAATTTCTCGGTTAAGCTAAAATTCGAACAGGAACAGTTGGTTATCAACTTAGTCAAAACTCGATTATCACTTAACGACCGGTTATTAATAATGAATAGGGGATAATCGATTAGGTTGCCTAAAAACCTAAAAAGAAAAAACCTAAGAGAAAGATCATCTTCGTGGACTACTGTCACGTTGATGAAACCACGTTAAAAAAGCTTTTGTCTTCTTTCGATTTCATTATTCATGAGTATTATTGAAAAATTGAATTTTTTTAAGAGATTTTAAAAGTGTTTCGACAGTATTTTTGTTTGAAAATCCATATCAGCTCCAAAAGTAAGGTCACCAACCGCAAAATCTCTTATTTCCTTCATGGACAAACGGTAGGTCAATTAGAAACTGATTCAACGAAAAAACGGTAGGTTAGTTATAGCCATTAATGCCCCAAGTTATAAAACTAGCCAATCATGCCAGTCACAAGTAATTTTTTGTCTGCAAATTAAATAAATCGTTATATGGATCAAAACAAAATAGTTGGCAATGAAATTATAAATTATCTCAATTTCTTCTTGTTGTTGGATTTATTCAATATAAAGCGGATTATTCGCTTTTTACACATTCTTCTGGTAGTCAAGTTTAGCTTTTTCGGTTTACGTGGATGACATCATTTTAACGGCTAATCAATGTTGATGGAATTAATACAATTTGTCGAATTATTTCTTGAAAACACATTTAAAATCAAAGATATTGATGCTCTCAAATATTTCTTAGGAATGGAAGTTGTTCGCTCATCTACAGGAATTTCATTGTGTCCACAAAAGTATGTACTCGATCTTGTTTCTGATCCAGACTTATTGTCTTCCAACCCTACTCAATGTCCAACTGATCTTCCAAAGAAGTGGTCTATCACCGATGGCTGTATAGTACTAATGAGTAATGAGTACTCTCCTTTTGCTTTTATTGAATATATATTGAACATCTCACACCAATACATAGGCAACATAAATCGCGTAGGAATAATATTATTGGACCTATACTTAATTGGCTTCATTCACATGATTAAGCCATTGGATCCTAGGCGGTCTTAATAATAAACAAAGGAAAGTGGACGGTCGGCCACACGGAAATTAAAAGGCAACGATTGGTAGAAAAACTTAGCAAACACGAGCAACTTAGCATAAAGGAGATGGAACACACACGTGGTTTGTAGACGGATAAGCCAGGTAGGACGTTATCCCATGTTCAAATCTTTTCGGCCTTGCCGAAGAATCTTTGTCCGGTCGAAAAGCCGACCTGTCCAAAGTCGCCTCCGTCGAGCCAGCAGCTTCGCTCTTGCCGAAGAATCCTTGTCCGGTCGAAAAATCGACCTGTCCAAAGTCGCCTCCGGTCGGACCAGCAGTGTCGGTCTTGCCGAAGAAGCCTTGTCCGGTCGAAAAGCCGACCTGTCCAAAGTCGCCTCCGGTTGAACCGGCAGCTCCGGCCTTGCCGAAGAATCCTTGTACGGTCGAAAAGCCGACCTGTCCAAAGTCGCCTCCGGTCGGACCAGTAGTGTCGGTCTTGCCGAAGAAGCCTTGTCCGGTCGAAAAGCCAACCTGTCCAAAGTCGCCTCCGGTCGAGCCAGCAGCTTCGATCTTGCCGAAGAATCCTTGTCCGGTCGAAAAGCCGACCTGTCCAAAGTCTCCTCCGGTCGGACAAGTAGTGTCGGTCTTGCCGAAGAAGCCTTGTCCGGTCGAAAAGCCGACCTGTCCAAAGTCGCCTCCGGTCGGACCAGCAGTGTCGGTCTTGCCGAAGAAGCCTTGTCCGGTCGAAAAGCCGACCTGTCCAGAGTCGCCTCCGGTCGAACCAGCAGCTCCAGACTTGCCGAAGAATCCTTGTCCGGTCGAAAAGCCGACCTGTCCAAAGTCGCCTCCGGTCAGACCAGCATTGTCGGTCTTGCCGAAGAAGCCTTGTCCGGTCGAAAAGCCGACCTGTCCAGAGTCGCCTCCGGTCGAGCCAGCAGCTTCGATCTTGCCGAAGAAGCCTTGTCCGGTCGAAAAGCCGACCTGTCCAAAGTCGCCTCCGGTCGGAGCAGTAGTGTCGGTCTTGCCGAAGAAGCCTTGTCCGGTCGAAAAGCCGACCTGTCCAAAGTCGCCTCCAATCGGACCACCAATGTCAGTCTTGCCGAAGAATCCTTGTCCGGTCGAAAAGCCGACCTGTCCAAAGTCGCCTCCGGTCGGACCAGCAGTGTCGGTCTTGCCGAAGAAGCCTTGTCCGGTCGAAAAGCCGACCTGTCCAGAGTCGCCTCCGGTCGAACCAGCAGCTCCAGACTTGCCGAAGAATCCTTGTCCGGTCGAAAAGCCGATCTGTCCAAAGTCGCCTCCGGTCAGACCAGCATTGTCGGTCTTGCCGAAGAAGCCTTGTCCGGTCGAAAAGCCGACCTGTCCAGAGTCGCCTCCGGTCGAGCCAGCAGCTTCGATCTTGCCGAAGAAGCCTTGTCCGGTCGAAAAGCCGACCTGTCCAAAGTCGCCTCCGGTCGGACCAGTATTGTCGGTCTTGCCGAAGAATCCTTGTCCGGTCGAAAAGCCGACCTGTCCAGAGTCGCCTCCGGTCGAACCAACAGCTCCGGCCTTGGCGAAGAATCCTTGTCCGGTTGAAAATCCGACCTGTCCAAAGTCGCCTCCGGTCGAACCAGCAGTACCGGTCTTGCCAAAGAAGCCTTGTCCGGCCGAGAAGCCGACCTGTCCAAAGTCTCCTCCAGTCAAACCACCAGATGCAGTCTTGCCGGAGAAGCCCAGTGCGAGATGGCAGCCATCACCTCCTGTATTATGCCAATTGACCCGGTTTTAAAAAGGCCGCAAATAATGCATGTGGATCTATATACGGGCGTAGCCAAAATCACGCCAAATATAGCAATGAGCAAGTATAAATTAATGAACGGCGAAACGAGAAAATAGTTAGGGCATGAAAAATTGTAATAGCTAGTCTACTACTTGCATTGCAGCAGGCAGGCATGTTCGTTCACCTTTGACAGAGGCGGGTTTGCATGACATGACGGACGACGACTTCTTGATCATCATCGCCATGGATTGAGACGACGGGAATCTGGCGGCGGCGGCGGATGGAGGAGACGAGTGTAGTGAGGCGCCAGCAGCAGCACTGCTGGTGCTCATCACAAGGCTGCTGATCATCGCAGTGGAGGAAGCCATACCTTAACTATTATAACTCGCTCAAGTTAAAAATGAGGGAAGGAAGAGATGATAATCGAAATCAGAGTGTGGTTTGCTTCGAAGCCAGAGGCCGTATTTATACACATGTACGCATTCCCTGCCAGCACGTTCAGCCTTTGGATCGGGAGTAGTAGTGCAGCCTGCAGGAAACAATTCAAAGCTCCCAAAGTTCCAACCATCAATTGTAGCAACGTACGACTGCTCACCAACCCACACTTACACCTAGGGCTGTTAATCGGTCTCCGGTTTGTCGGTTACCACCGAAACCGTCGGTTTATTGACCAACCGAAAACCGTCGGTTTATTGCGGTTTGCGGTTGCGGTTGGACGTTACTGGCCAGTGGGCAATTATCGCGGTTAGCGGTTAAAAACCGCAACCGCACAAATTAACCGAACAAAACCGAGAAAACCGACGCGGACAGACAGCCTCTCCTTCCCTCCTCCCCTGCCCTAAACGGCTAAACCTAAAATCCTAAATCGCAAAATCGAGAGTCTCCCCAGTCCCCTCTCACACCCGCCGCCCCTCCCCATTTCTGAACGGCTGAACCCTAGCCTCGCCGTCGAGCTCGTCGCAGCGCCATCCTCCCGCTCCCGGCCTTCTTCGCGTCGCCATCCTCCCGCTGACCAACGCTGCTCCGCCTTCTTCCCCCATCTAATCCGGCGGCGGTGGAGATGAGAGTGGAGAAAATGGGCTTTGCCAGCAGGACAATCAAATCCTCACTGGCGTCGAGATCAATTAGCCGAGCACCATGCATGTCCTCCGCCGATGGACCCCTACCGAAGTTGTCGCCTCTGCCGATAAGAAAGCGATGACGTCAAGATCCAGCCATTTTTGGTTTCGCTCCAAGGCAAAGGAGAGAAGGTAGACCAGAGAAGATCGATGGAAGGATTCAAAGCGGAGGAAGAAGTCGACGGGAATTGATGATTTTCTTGAAATTTTGGTGAGGGTAGAGGGTGGCAGAGAGATCTTGCGATAGAAATGGAGAGGTTAGAGAGAGGGGTTTTCTTTTGGAGAGAGGATAGGGTAACAGAGAATGAGATGGGGAGAAGGATCGAGAGAATGCTAGAGGGTTGGAATTAATGTTTTATATTTTTTTGGAATTTTTATTTTTCTTTTCAATGAATTTCCGGTTGATAGTCAACCGACACCGACGGTTAGCGGTTTCGGCTAACCGATTGGACAATCAGTTGCGGTTGGCTGTTTTGACCTCTAATAGGTGTCGGCTAACCGACCCGTCGATTCGGTTTAACCGCAACCGAACCGATTATCACCCCTACTTACACCTATGGCCTAGCCCTATCACACTCGTCATAATTCGGACGAAACCTAACTCCATATCCTAGCTAGTTGCATGTAGAAAAAGAGCTCGCATTTGCATTTTGTAGAGGGTCAAATAATTTGAGCGAGAGTGTTTCTCTTTTGGGTCATTTGTACTTGGCGACAAAAAGAAACCATGTAAATATTTGTACTTTATTTGGTTTTGATTGGCCAAATTTCACAAAAGGAGGGTTGCACTTTTCTTAGGGGTCGTTTGGAAGTTGGGATAGTTTTGTTGAGATTGTCATTATATATGTATTGTTTACAATGCATCGTTTTTTTTTTGTTTTTTAGCAGAAACAATGCATGGATTGTTTCTGTGATGTGACAGAAACTATCACTCATTTTGAGTGATTGTTATATCTCAACTTTTAGTTGTGATTGTTGAGATAGTTGAGTTGAGATTGTTTTGTCTCAGCTTTTAGCTGATGCGACATACACAATCACACATACTAACCAAACATTGTATTTTACAATGCATCAAATTCGACAATACATGTATAATATTATACATGCATTCTCAACAATACATCTATTTAACAATCACAACTTCCAAACGACCCCTTAGTTATTTTTCTTTTCCCCATCGTGTAATTATGTTGGATTTATAATTCAGGATTAAACTTTTAGAAATATGATATGTTATTTGTTTTTTCTTAGCACAAAGTTAATGTTATTCGTTAAACTTTAATAATTTGCTGGCACCCTGTCACGAATCTCAAATGAGAGATGAGTTTCATTGACCAGTCAAAGTCTATTTTTTTCAAATATTCTATTTTTTTACTCGAGTTATATGATTTTTAACTCAAAATTTAAAAGAAAAATTACGTAAAAAATCATTAATCATGATCTACAATGATATATATATATATATAGTTCAGGCTAGCGTACGTCCGGGCGTACGCTAACCTAGCGTATGCCCCATTGAGTTTTGCTATATAGATCATGAATTAATCGAAGTTTGGGGCATGATACTATACCCTAACCTCTAATAGGTGAACCCAGTCCCTAATTTTCTAACCCAAACCATGAGGTTCGTTTAATCTTAAAATGAAAATCAATGAAAATTTTGACGAATCAGAATCGTTGATTTTCATTTTTAAGATTAAACGAATCTCGTGCTTTGGGTTAGTGAATTGGGGACTGGGATTCACCCATTAGGGGTTAGGGTATAGTATCATGTCCCAAACTCCGATTAATTCTTTGTTGACAAGTTTGTTATATTTTGAGCAAAAAAAAGTCCTTCGTGAACACATATTTGTTGTAATTTTGTCGTGATCTTACCGATTGACTGCATATCATATCACTATGATATTATCAATACGGTATAGTGATATATTTTATGATATCACAATGATATGATGTCATTGAATTATTTTGTCGAACATAAGACCTCATATTAACATCATTTCATTGTGGTAAGACTTCACAGTTCACACTATTATCTTACCAGACATATCATTATCATACCATTATGGTAATATTGATAACAACGTCATGCCAGTGTCAGCGATGATATTTGGATATAACAGTGGTAAGTTGACTTTAAAGTTTTTGTTCAAAACATCAAAATGAATATGATCTTGTAAAGCACATAAGGTTTAATATTTCTAAGCAAATTTTTTGAAATTCGCAATGATCATCCATTTGATTGAGAAACAAAGAAAGTTTGAGAAAAACTCTTAACAAAATCTATAATAAGTATAATCGAAAAATAGCAAAAAGAGAGAATTTGAATTGTAATTGCAAACAAAGACTAATTAGGACATGCATCACATGAATTTTGGGAGAAACTATTGGTGGTTGGCAATTATAATTGAACAATCAAATGTTGGAACAAAATATAAAAGGGATTGTGGAAGGAATGAGTTTGGAGCAGATGTTTAGTAATTTAGTGTCGATTATAGATGGGTGACGAGTTTGACGAGTTTGACGAGTTGAACTCACAAGCACCCATTTTTGTTGGGTTACACTCGAAACAACCTACATCCGCCCACTATACTCATCTATATTATTATGGGTAGGGTTTTAGCAGCTGAAATTGGGTGAATTCTGTGGGTGTTTGTAGGGTGGAAATCGGTGTAGTATCGGTATCTCAATATCAAATACTAAAATCTCGAATATTGAATGATACTCTAAAGTCAATCTCAATCCCAATTCCTAAATAATTTAGGTACCCCAATCTCAATCCCTAAATATTTCGGTTTCCCAATCGGTATTATCGAATATGAAATTAATTACCTTTGCAATTAATAATTAAATATATAAATTAGATTTTATTCTTTAATTTAGGGGAAAAAGACTAATCAAAGGGTTTTGAATTAGGATATTATTAAGGAGAGTGGAGGAGAGGAGACATCTCAAGTTTTTGTCATTGATAATCTTTAATTTGACGAATTGGAGGTTGAGAGACGACTATTAATAGTGATGGAATGATCTGTGTGTAATTAAATGACACTTTTGGTGGTTGAGAGTCATGTAGTAGTAAATGAGAGAGTCTAGTTGAGAGGATAAAATACAAACTAACTTATATTTCGGTATTGATTGGTATTTGGGATGAGATTAGGTGCTAACCCTTATTTGGGTTAGCACCGTGATAACTAGCAAAAAACGCTACTAAAAACAACGAAATCACTACGGATTATTATAAAATCAATACAACATCTAAGCTAAATCACTACTAACCCTTGGTTAGGATGGTGCTAACTCGTGTACAATTAGCACCGTAACCAGTCCCTCGGTATTTTGATATATCCCGATCCCAATCCTGTAATCCCTAATACCGAATAACAATTGAAATTCAATCTCAGTTCCAATCCCAAGAAATAATACGTGTATTCGATAATACCAAATATTGAAAAATTCGATACGGTATTCGTTATATCCCAAATACCGGTATCAAACTTCCAGCCCTCGCCCAATATCCATCCTAGCCTAGGTAGTAGGTACCCTACTCTTGTCTTCCCCTTGACGTGGAGATGATCATGTCAATTAGTTGCCCGGTTTTCGCAGCTGGCGCATTAATTCTTTAAGCCCAAGTATGCCTGGTGGCATGGTCTGGCCCAATTCAAAATTGAAATCAATCGACAAAAAATAAGATCAACAACATCTATTGGCAAAAGTCCAATGGGTAAATTTTAGAAACATTTATGCTCTACTTTTAAAGAACTAGTCAAGGGCCCGGCCATTTGGTCGGATAGAATTGTCAATAACGTAAACAACTGTAACAATTTGTATGGATATACACATGTCTTTGGTAGTATAAGAAAATTTCAAATTTCAAATTATCGAACATTTAAATTGATTGGCAGCATAAAAGAATCCAAATTATTAAAATATTTCAATCATGCAAGAAGATCTACATCATAGTGTTTTCCGACATTGTTACTGACTCATCGACATTGTTACGGGAGACCCAATTATAGTCTCTAATATGTTAAAAAATCGCGTCTTGTAGAACTATTTGCTTACAATAGCATATTCAACTGGATTGCCGCCTTCGAGGAAGGAGATTCACTTTGCCTTGCCTACAACACAATGAAAACTTTGTCAAAAAAAAAAATACAACACAATGAAAACTATGGTTGACTGAAATTTCTTGTAGATAACCCGGAAAGTCCACAAAACGCATCACCCGAAGAATACTGTAACAATTTTTGGCA